ATATATATATATATATATATATATATATATATATATATATATATATATATATATATATAAGTAATATAAAGTGAGAAAATATAATAATAATAATAATAATAAGCAAAAAGAGTGTGTCATGTCACATGTGTCATCACTCACATGATTGGCCTACGAGGCACATATGACTAGCACAAAGCTCCTCTGATGGATAGATAAGAGAACTATGAAACTTAATTTCACACATTCTCTTAAGAGTTCAGAAGAAAAAGTTTGATTTTGCCCGCTTCCTCGAGAGTTGTACTCTATATATCGAGCATGTTATTAGCCTTCACTTGCTCTTTGTTCACACTTTTGAAGCACTCAAAGTGTTTGCACTCTTTGTGTTGAATTAGTTACTGCAATTCGTATTCTCATTACCATCAAACTTTCGAAATGCAGGAAGTTTTGCCTAAAAAGAGTAAAATTTCACTCTGACTTAAAGCAAATCTCCAATAGTTTTGTCACCTCTAGGATTATACCATCTTTTATATTATTTGTTTCTACTACTTACTCCTATGAGTAGAAAATGTACAGCATTGCGTACTGCCTATTTCGTTCGTTGGTCGAGCACTCTTGCATTAACCCGAAATCCCCACTCTTGACTATTTAAGAAGTCTGTTGACACTGGTCTTACAAAACTTCTTGGCCTCTTCCCTTAAGTTCACCTCCATTCTACCTAACACATGCTTTGTTCTAGGTAGCTACATCCTTTTGGACTCATTGTCTTTCGAGCAATTCCCCTTGGTCGATAAAAAGATAATTGTAACTCTCATGTATGACCTTCATTATAATATTGCAAAGCTCGCGTCGATTCTATTTTCCTTTGCATCCTTAGTAGCAATGTTCGCTTATTCAATTGCTTTTATCATACCTTTGTATGATCAAGCCCTCCGCATTCACTAGTACCTACACTTAGAATTCTCCCTCGATGGTGCACAACCCTATATGCTGATAACCAAGATATTCATCCAAAACAAAATCCTTCACATGACCCATAATATCCATTCCTTGAAATTATAGTCATTTTATTTTCCCTGATACCCTTCGTCGCATCGTAGTTATTGACTTTGGAAGGGAAGGAGGCAACCAAGGTAGGGCTTCCCCTCTTTCCTCCCTCACATAACCTATGACCCATTACATCATGCCTTACCTACACCTCCTTCTTGAGTTGCTATGTATCATGACACGAGCTTGATAAGCTAACTGATCTATCAACTTCATTTCAAAACCACTATATCATGACCATGGGTTAACTAATCTATCAACTTCATTGACCTAAACCACCGATTAAAATATTGATAGTAATATACTTAATAAACCGTTAATAAGTCAATTTTAAAAATAAAACGCTCAACAAACCCTTATAAGTCAATCTTAGTCCTACCCGTTTCCGATGTGAGACTAAACTATTGTTATGATTTTTTTTATTTAAAGGCTTGACGTCCTCGTGCTTAAATATTATGTCAGCTTTCATGTCAAATATCACGACTTAAACTTGGTAAGCTAATTGATCCATCAATTTTACTTGACCTAAATCGTTGATCAAAATAATTAATATACTTAATAAACCGTTAATAAGTCAATTTTAAAAATAAAATTGCTCAACAAACCCTTATAAGTCAATCTTAGTCCTACTCGTTTCCGATGTGAGACTAAACTATTGTTATGATTTTTTTTATTTAAAGACTTGACGTCCTCGTGCTTAAATATTATGTCAGCTTTCATGTCAAATATCACGACTTAAACTTGGTAAGCTAATTGATCTATCAATTTTACTTGACCTAAATCGTTGATCAAAATAATTATGCTGAAGTTGATTTATAAGTTAATCTTAGTCTTGTCCACTTCTAATGTGGGACTAGTCGAAGTATTATATTATGCTCCCCTGATTAACAAATGGAAGAAGATAGGATATAGCATGAGAAGCTTGAATCTATGAGACAAAAGAGAGGGTTGAGGATGCACTCCTCAGAGATGATACGATAGGAGACATTCAAGATGGAAGTGATGAGGAAAATAATAACAATTTGGATTATAAGGGAGATAAAGGTGAGGGTGAGAGTAAGGGCCTTCTAGCGGTACTTTAGTGATACCTCGGCATCAATAGACAATAGTAAGGACAAAGGTGGTTGATGCCTTAATGATACTAAATGTTGCAAGGATGAGGAAACTTTTCAAAAAACTAAAAAAAAAAAGAGGATATTTTCAAGAAAATACTATATATATATATATAATGATAATGTGATTGGATCATAGATTTAATATGTTTAAATAGATGAAATAAAGTTAAAAATATATATTATATAGAAGTATAAAAAATATAAATAATATTATAAAATTTTTAATTTAATGAAAGTGAACGATGGAGACGAAGCAAACATGTCGAGAAGAGAGAGTGGCTTTCTTTCTCTCTCCTTTTTATAATTGCAAGGCCTTATCACCAAAAAATTTTAAATATCTACGATAGTAAACAAAAATATTAATGGTTTTAAAATATTTTTTAAGTTCAAATGATCCCTTCATTGTCGTCCGATCGGTTCGGTCCAGGTTTTATTACTATGATTCATAAGAATAATTCACACATTATTTGAATAAACAAATAAAGGTCAAGAAAAAGTCAAGGCATCAAGATGAAGATATTGAACATGAACAGTTCATATCCAAAGGAATAAAGTGAGCAAATTGGTCAATCATTAGTTGTCAATACAAAATAACCATTAAGCACCACCCAAAAAAAAAAAAGAATGTGTCATGTCATGTGACATATGAATTGGGCGATGCATCCACAAGCTCACATGACAACCTTTGCAAAGAAGATGCTAGCCTGTATTCATTACTGAAATATTCACTAGAAAATAAAAAATTAATTGATCATCTATTAATATGATGAGTTTTTTTATATCAAGATATTACGGTGAGCATTTGAATGCTCAAAATAAGATAATACCCTCTCTTATATATATATTTAATATAAAAAAATCATCTATTAAGATCTAACAATTCTATTAAAAGACTTAATCGGAGGAGAGGGATCCTCCCATACAAAGTTACACTTATCCGATCTCTTTTTCTTAAAAACATCCCAATTTGTTGCTTGATTACATTTACGATAGACGATAATAACAATGCATTACAATAAATGAGATAAATAATACAAGTAGACATTCTATATCCACAATTCAGCATTAATTTAAGAACGATGTTGCCTTGGACTCAATACCACGGCGTGGGAATCAAGACAATAGTATCGGAACATTAAATTAAATTAAATTTTATATTTTCATAATAATAATTAATTTTATGAGTCCGAGAAGCCTGCTCCTATAATAATATCAGGTCACATGCAACATAGTTTATGGATTCTTGGAGGTCTTATAATAAGTTGGCCAGAGAAGACTTGAAACGTGAAACACCGTAACTCAACAATGGGATCAAATTAAAGGTTCACTTATTTTTAACCTAAATATCTTTATACACCTCTCACATCAATATCAAAGAATTTTTTTCATCTTTTATCTCAATCTTCCTCTTTGACCCAATATATACAAATTAAATAAATATTAAATCATAAAAGATTTCTTTCATACTCGAACGAGGAATTTTCATTTTTTTTTTAAATCTAAAGGATTTTTTTTATTTCTTCACGTAATCGATTTTTACGTACAAGTATCTTAAAGATGGAGGAACGAGACGCATCACTAGGATTTTATAAAGTAAATATATTTTCATAGATTATTTACGTAGAGTCATAGAGAAAAAAAAAGGATATTACTGCTTTTTATTATGTGTTATTAGGGTCTCTACATCACAAAAAATAATTACTCATTGATATTAAAGTGAATTTAAAATACATTTTTATTTTATATTAAATATAATTATTAAATCCTTCCATTATGTATTATCATATATACTCATTTATGAAAGAAATAATAATATTTTTACATCGATTTATCATTTATTTATCTCGTTATTGAGAGTAGCGATAGACAATGAGGTAGACATGACCACAAATTGAGGATCAGAAATATAAATAAGGATGAGAAAGAAAGAAAAAAATTTAACTTATCATATATAACCAAAAATAATAGAATAAGACGTGACCCGACAAATTCTCTATATCACAAAAAATATTATTCATTGATATTAAAACAAATTTAAAGTATTTTTTCCCATTTTATGTTAAATATAATTATTAAATCCTTTTCTATCTTGACCCTACATGAATGATATTTCAAGGGTTGGTCATTACTTGGACCACCACCGTGAATTGGCCACTTTGCTACATTATTCCCACATGTACCTTTTTATTGCAGCTTATGATGTGGACTCTTATCTTCTCAATGGCCACTGTCTCTTCATGGTCCCCTTGCCAGCCTATCAGAAAATAAACAAAGCACGTGATTGAAACGTGAATCCAGCCATGTATTTTTTTATTTGTTTGCATAAAATTTAACCTCCTCAATTGCCTTAGTGGGTTTGGCGAGGCGTGCATCCAAAGAGTTACTTTTGACTTCATATTCTTGGTCATAGATGCGTTTGTAAATGGGACAAACAGCTCGACAATGATCCAAGATTATTTCTTTATGGCCGATACCTCCTTACATGTGATTCGATCTCATGTGTTGGATTCACCCTTTTCATCTTTTTACCGCCTTAATACGATCCAATTGTGATAGTGATTGAATATTCGGACGATCGAATCTAGCCTCGTGAACGGACACGTGTTCTGAAACTTCGGTGCGTTTTGACTTACGAGACATGTAACTTTATGCTGTATTCTCCGGTCGATGATATATGACAAATAAATGTCACATGGGTATAATCTCATATAGTGTTTTAGAATTAGATTTATATGGGTTCTCTTGGCATGCTCGGTTTAAGATAAGGGAGAGACTGCATTACGTACATAAGTAATCTGCACTCTTCGATCCAAGAACATCTATAAGTAGCCCCTTCCACCACACACCTCAGCACACCATTCCTCATCTCTCTGGCTCCTGTTGTACGATGACGCTACTTGGAGACATGCTGAGTCACATCGTCGGCGGCGGGTCGCATGGGGTGAAGGTGAGAGGAACGGTGGTGTTGATCCGGAAGAACGTCCTCGGCTTCAACGATTTCGGCGGCACCGTCATCGACAACGTGCTCGAGCTCCTCGGCCGATGCATCTCCTTCCAGCTCATCAGCGCCACCGTCGGCGACCCTAGTGAGCTGCTCCCTCTCTCTTTCTCTCTTCTTCTAGTCATCATCTTGTCATAGTTGGCGGAAATGATAGAAGCGTTGAAGTGCAGATAATGGGAATCGAGGGGTCGTCGGGGAGGAGGCATATTTGGAACAGCACATCACTTTGTTGCCCTCCCTCGCTGCCGGCGAAACTGCTTACCACGTGACGTTCCACTGCGAGGAGAAAAACGGGATTCCCGGCGCCGTTATCGTCAAGAACAACCTCGGCTCCGAGTTCTTCCTCAAGACCTTGACGCTCGAGGACTTCCCCGGCAAGGGCCGCATCCACTTCGTCTGCAACTCCTGGGTCTACCCGGCCGGCAAGTACAAATACGACCGCGTCTTCTTCGCTAACACCGTCAGTATCTACCAACTCTATATATAACACAGATGAGATTGGCATCTTTGAGTCTCCATTCACCATGCATCGTCCTGTTGCAGACGTATCTTCCGGGAGACACACCACTGCCGCTGAAACTATACAGGGAAGAAGAACTCTGTAACCTGAAGGGAGATAACGTCGCCGGGAAGCTGCAGGAATGGGACCGCGTCTACCGTTACGACTACTACAACGATCTCGGTAGCCCAGACAAGTCCAAGGACTTGGCTCGGCCCATCCTCGGAGGGACGCCGGAGCACCCTTACCCTCGCCGTGGGAGAACCGGCCGGCCACCGACAAAGACTGGTAACACTTGATCATAGACCTCTTTTGTTCGCATCATTCTCTGATCTGATGTCGTCTATGTGTTTGACATAATAGATCCCAAGTCGGAGAGCAGGCTGCCGCAGCTGGACCTGAACATTTACGTGCCCCGGGATGAGCACTTCGGACACCTTAAGATGGCCGATTTCCTCACGTATGCCCTCAAGGGCGTCGTCGCAGGAGTGCTCCCCGTGCTGCAAGCCATTGCGGACGTAACCCCGAAGGAGTTCGACTCGTTCGAGGACGTGCTGAAGCTCTACGAGGGCGGCCTTCCGGTGCCCCACACTCCCCTGCTTGAGGAGCTCCGACAGCGAGTTCCATTTGAGATGATACGGGAGCTGCTGCGCGTCGAGGGTGGCCAGGGCCTGCTCAAGCTCCCTAAGCCCCAAGTAATCCAAGGTAATAACCCCGATACTAGATTAACTGGGTTGGATCGGACGAGTTGATGACCATTTGACTCGGTTGGCAGTGGATAAGACTGCGTGGCGAACCGATGAAGAGTTTACTCGCGAAATGCTTGCCGGTTTGAACCCGGTGGTCATCAGGCGTCTCGAGGAGTTCCCTCCCACGAGCAAGCTTGATCCTTGCAAGTATGGCGACCATACCAGCACGATAACTGCAGCCCACATAGAGCACCACCTTGACGGACTCACCGTGCATCAGGTGAGAAGCTTATCTGGTGTGATGCATGTAGCGGTAGCGAAGTAGTCTTGCTTCATCGTGTTCCTTTCCTCCCTCCTGAAGGCACTGGAGCAGAACAAGCTCTTCATCTTGGATCATCATGATGCATACATCCCCTACCTCAACCGCATCAACGCTCTCGCCGTCAAAGTATATGCCTCCAGAACTCTGTTGTTCCTGAGGCAGGACTCCACGCTAAAGCCATTGGCGATCGAGCTCAGCTTGCCTCACCCGGACGGAGAGCAGCATGGCGCCGTCAGCAAGGTGTACACACCGGCTGAAAGCGGCGTGGAAGGATCGATCTGGCAGCTGGCGAAGGCCTACGCCGCCGTCACCGACTCCGGCTACCATGGCCTCATCAGCCACTGGTGCTTACAGAATCGCAGCATGCTCTGTTCTGAGTCTCTGTTGTTGTTCGTCCGCCTGATCACCATTCTTTTACCTCGATCGCAGGCTCAACACACACGCGGTGATGGAGCCATTCGTGATCGCGACGCACAGACACCTGAGCGTGATCCACCCGATCCACAAGCTTCTGTCGCCGCACTACCGCGACACGATGACCATCAACGCCTTGGCACGGCAGACCCTCATCCCCGCCGGCGGCATATTCGAGTTGACGGTCTTCCCAGGGAGGTACGCGTTGGAGTTGTCTTCCACGGTCTACAAGAGTTGGAATTTCCGGGAGCAGGCTCTCCCCGCTGATCTGATCAAGAGGTACGAATCCTCGAATCGTGTCTCACGAGGAGCTCTACTCTGTGCATGACCCAAAGATTCATCTCTGTGCAGAGGAGTTGCGGTGAAGGACCGAGACGACAAGCTCTGCCTACTGATCGAGGATTACCCTTATGCCGTGGACGGACTTCAGATATGGCATGCGATCGAGACATGGGTCGGAGAGTACTGTGCAATCTACTACCCGACGAACGACGTCGTGAAAGCTGACGCCGAGCTACAGGCCTGGTGGAAGGAGGTCCGCGAGGTCGGCCATGGCGACAAAAAGGACGAGCCCTGGTGGCCAGCCATGCTCACAACATCCGAGCTAATCGAGGCATGCACCACCATAATCTGGATCGGTTCTGCGCTCCACGCCGCCATCAACTTCGGGCAGTATCCCTACGCCGGGTACCTGCCGAACCGGCCAACCATGAGCCGGCGCTTCATGCCGGAGCCGGGCACGCCGGAGTACGAGGAGCTGAAGAAGAACCCGGACAAGGTGTTCCTGAAGACCATCACCAGCCAGTTGCTCACGGTGCTGGGTCTCTCCACCATCGAGATCCTGTCGAACCATGCGTCCGACGAGGTGTACCTGGGACAACGGGACACGCCGGAATGGACGTCGGATGAGACGGCGGTGAAGGCGTTCGAGGGCTTCGGGGAGCGACTCAAGGCAATCGAGGCGGAGATCATGAAGAGGAACGGCGACCCGAGCTTGAAGAACCGCAATGGCCCGGCCAAGATGCCTTACACCTTGCTCTTCCCGAGCAGTGGGGTTGGGATCACCGGCAGGGGAATCCCCAACAGTATCTCCATCTAAGTCGCCTGTCGAAGACTGGAGTAGCCACGAATATTGTACCGAATAATTAATTACTCAAATCGCACAATTAAATCTGTGATTGATCTTTAAATTATAAATTGATTGAGGATATAAAATATGTAAAAAATGAAAAGTTATCATTCCATATTTACCTCTTTCAAGATTTTCTTTAATTCGATTTCTTCAACAATTAAATCCGTGCTATTACAGAAATATGGATATAGCCAACAAGTAAAAAGTGTGAAATTACACAAATTTATCTACGTTATGTAAGGTATTCTGGTGACTCATATTCTAAGATTCTAAGATTCTAAGATTCTATCCACTTAATAGGAGATAAACAAGTATTATCCTTGAATATTTAGTATCATGATAGAGATAAATTCTAAGATTCTATCCACTTAATAGGAGATAAACAAGTATTATCCTTGAATATTTAGTATTTGGTGTAAACGTAGTTTCATTCCTTTCTATAGTATAGGCAGTGTATTGGAAAGCCACACATTTACTTTCATGTGTTCCCTACAAAAGTGTCCCTTTGCTCGAACGAACATACCTCAACCATCTCTTTCAGTATATTAAAGTAATAATAAATTAATTTATAAAAAATTCATAATAATGAGTCTTTATCATATGACTTCAATTCTATCGTTCACTTCTCTTCCCACTTTATGACCATCATCCCTGTTGGGAAAAATCATGTAAAAACGAAATATTTTTTCCCTATCAAAATGGGTTCCTCATCAAAATACCAACTTGATATCTAAATGAAAATATCAACTAGCACAGCATAAACAATAGAGCAAAAATCAACCACACAGTGAGACTAAATCTTTTTAACGTGAAAAACCTAATGTGGGAAAAAAACCACGGGATCGTAGTCCACCTCAAACTTCCACTATCAATAATAATGATAACAGGTTTACGGTAGGTCTTCTCTAGAATAACTAGAGGATCAGAATAACATCAAAAACATAGATCTTGGCTCTAGCATATAGTTGGATCTCCTCAAAAGAGAATTCTAGGTCTCACAGAGTGGATATCACAGGAAAGTACCTTAGAGAGGGTAAACTGCAGATCAACACCGTTAGGATTGTAGAGTTTGCTGCAAGGATTCTTCACATAAAATTTGGGCCAAAACTGACAACGTTTGGCCACCGATCGTCAAGCAAAAAACTTAAAAACCTAACTTTCTCTCTCCTCTTTCCTCTGCACGTCGCCGCACGCTGCACGCGTTCACTGCATGCACACACACACTGTCATCACCCAATTTTGCCCTTTCTCTCTTGATTTCTTTGATTTGGGCTCATGACCCAAATTTATCCAAGCCCACATATGGGCTGGACCCAACAATTCTCCCCCTCCAGCTCATATGGTGGGCTGTACCAAGCCCGCTCTTCGCCTACATGCTTCAAGCTTCTCCTTAGGCAAAGACTTTGTCAACATATCTGAACCATTCTCATTGGTATGCACTTTTTCCAACTGTAATTCTTTTATCTCAAGCACATCACGAATCTAGTGATATCTCACATCAATATGCTTGGATCTAGAATGGTATGTTGAATTCTTGGAGAGGTGAATGACGCTCTGACTGTCACAGTAAACAGTATATCCTTCCTGTTTCAAGCCCAATTCCTGTAGAAACTTTTTTATCCATAAAGCTTCCTTACATGCTTCAGTAATTGCTATATATTCTGCTTCTGTGGTTGATAGAGCAACACACTTCTGTAACTTAGACTGCCAAGAGACTGCTCCTCCTGCAAATGTCATCAAGAATCCCGAAGTGGACTTCCTAGAATCAGTATCACCTGCCATGTTTGCATCTGTGTAACATTCTAACACGGGTTCATCACTGTCAAAACATAAACACAACCTGGAAGTACCTCTTAGATATCTTAATATCCATTTCACTGCTGCCCAATGTTCCTTTCCAGGATTTGAGAGAAATCGGCTAACAACTCCAACTGCATGAGCTATATCTGGCCTAGTACAAACCATCGCATACATCAAACTACCTACTGCAGATGAGTAAGGCACTCTGGACATTTCTTCTTTTTCTTTCTCACTTGTAGGACATTGTTTCGAACTAAGCTTGAAATGACCTGCAAGTGGGGAACAAACTGCCTTGGCTTTACTCATGTTGAATCTTTCAAGAACCTTTTCAATATAAGTCTCCTGAGATAGCCAAATCTTCTTTTTCTTCCTATCACGAAGAATCTTCATGCCAAGTATTTGTTTCACCGATCCCAAGTCTTTCATGGCAAAAGACTTACTTAGCTCTCTTTTAAGCTTTCCAATTTTTCCAACATCATGGCCAACAATCAGCATATCATCAACATATAGCAGTAAAATAATAAAATCATCATCTGAAAATTTCTTCATAAACATACAATGATCAGATGTGGTTCTATCATACCCTTGGCTCATCATAAAGGAATCAAACTTCTTATACCATTGTCTAGGTGCATGTTTGAGTCCATATAAACTTTTCCTAAACTTACATACCAGATTTTCTTTTCCCTTGACTTTGAAACCTTCTGGTTGCTCCATGTAAGTTTCTTCTTCTAAGTCACCATGAAGAAATGTTGTTTTCACATCAAGTTGCTCGACTTCTAAATTCAAGCGGGCAGCCAAACCAAGAACAACTCGGATAGAGGACATTTTCACAACCGGAGAAAATATTTCTTCAAAGTCAATACCTTTCTTCTAACTGAATCCTTTCACAACTAGTCGTGCCTTGTATCTCTGTTGTGAGCTATTGCTTTCTTCTCTTTAGGCAACTTTACCAAGTCATAAGTGTGGTTCTCAAGCAAGGATCTCATCTCTTCTTGCACGGCTTTAACCCACTCACTCTTATTCTCATGTAGAATAGCTTCTTGGTAAGTTTCTGGCTCTCCCCCGTCAGTAAGCATAACATACTCATGTGGAGGATATCTGATAGATGGTTGTCGCTCTCTAGTGGATCTTCTCAATGGAATCTCAACTGGTGGTGGAGGTAGCTGTTCAGTTGGTTCAGCATCATCAATGTAGGTGTATCATCACTGGTATTTTCATCACAATCTTCTTGTTTATCTCCCCCATGATCATCATGAACTACAGGTGAAGGAACTGGACCCACACTCCAAGGAATATAAACAGAGGTTTCTGGCTTCTCAACATGATCACCATCATCAAACAATTGGTCTTCAAGAAACACGACATCTCTGCTTCTAATAATCTTCTTGTTCATTGGATCCCATAATCTGTACCCAAACTCTTCATGACCATATCCCAAGAAGATACATGCTTTTGCTTTACTATCAAGCTTGGACTTTTCATCTTTGGGAATATGAACAAATGCTTTACACCCAAAGACCCTCAAATGATTATAAGATATATATTTTCCTCTCCATACTCTCTCTGGAACATCACCTTGCAGAGGAACTGATGGAGAAAGATTTATCAGGTCAACTGTAGTTCTCATAGCCTCCCCCAAAATGACTTTGGTAACTTGGCGTGAGAAAGCATACACCTAATCCTTTCTTCAATGGTTCTGTTCATCCTTTCTGCCACACCGTTCTACTGAGGAGTTTTAGGAACTGTTTTCTCAAGCCTGATACCATGGAACCTACAATAATTCTCAAAAGGACCCCTGTACTCGCCACCATTATATGATCGAATACACTTTAGTTTTCTGCCAGTTTCTCTTTCAACACTGACATGAAACTCCTTGAAAGCATCAAGTACCTGGTCTTTAGATTTTAAAGCAAAAGCCCACACTTTTCTAGAATGGTCATCAATAAAAGTAACAAAATAAAGAGCACCTCCAAGAGTTCTAGTTTGCATAGTACAAACATCAGTATAAACTAAATCAATAACATCTGATCTTCTAGATGATGGATATGTCTGAAATGCAACTCTATGTGTTTTTCCAGCTAAGCAATGATCACAAGATTTAAGAGATGTACCTTGCAACTCTGGTAAGAACTGTTTTCTAACAAAAGTTTGAAGTCCCTTCTCGCTGATATGACTAAGCCTCTTATGCCAAAGATCTATACTTTCACCTTTTCGAATTGCATTAATCTCTCCTTTGTGTAGCTTAGCTTCCATGACATAAAAAGAGTTAATCTTCTTTCCTTTTGCCATAATCAGAGAACCTTTAGTGAGTTTCCATTTGCTTTCACCAAAATAATGTGCAAAGCCCTCATCATCAAGTTTGCCTATAGATATCAAGTTAAGACGAATATCTGGAACATGCCTTACATCTTTGAGTATCAATTTGCTCCCAATACTGGTCTCCAAGCAAATATCTCCAATACCCACAATCTTAGATGTACCACTGTTTCCCATTCTGACATTACCAAATTTACCAGCAGTGTAAGATCTAAAGAAATCACCATGAGAAGTGACATAAAATGAAGCACCAGAGTCAATTACCCAATTACTGTCCTGAGCTACAAGGCTAACACAACCTTCATCACAAATAATAGTGATATTACCTTCAGCAGTAATTGTATTGGTCTCTTTCTCATTTTTCTTCGTTTCATTATGTTCTCGCTTCCAAAACCTACACTCTTTCTTCATGTGACCTGACTTATTACAGTGAAAACATTTGATATCTCTTCTAGACTTAGATCTTCCTCTATATCTATATGGATTTCTGCTATGACTTCTTCCACGTCTTTCTTGTTTTTCAATAACAAATGCCCTAGAAGAAGATTCACCCTGTTCTTTCCTTCTGGCATCTTCATTTAGCAAACTGTCTTTAACCATATCTATAGTTAGAGTTCCCTCTGGCGCGGAGTTGTAAATAGTCATCACATACGTTTCCCAACTTTCTGATAAAGAGCTGAGAAGTAATAATCCCTGCATCTCATCATCTATATTCATTTTCATAGCAATCAACTTGTTTGCAAAACTCTGAAATAGGTTTATGTGCTCAACAATGTTATCACCATCTTTATACTTCAAATTTATAAGCCTTATGAGGAGAGAAATTCTATTTCCCACTATCTTTTTCGCAAAGAGATTTTCTAACCTTTGCCAAACAACATCAGCTCTGGTTTCATCTGAAATATGCTCATGCAAGTTTATATTCATCCATCTTCTAATATAGGCAATGACTTTTCTATGTTGAAC